ACAGCAGCCCACACTGGACCCCTGAGTGAGGATCCACTCCAGTTCTCGTAAGGTAGGGAGACTGGGTGGACCTTAAAAAAAATAAAATAGAGTGTGTATGTGTGTCAGAATGTCTGTTTGTGTCAGATTGTGTTTTTGAGGGCCCGTTCACACTAGTACAGTGCAATTAACTCACCGTACCACACAATCGCACCTACCGTGCATTCTGGTGTGGGAGGTGTGTTGTATTGCCATTCATTTGAAAAGTACCCCAAACGCACCACCCACAGTTCGTACACCCGCACCGGAAACGCGTGGTACCCTAATGCCGTGCATTCCATTACACTGAGACTTGGGTCACGACTTAATGACCAAGGACAAATGTGGGTCCTGAGGTTACACAGGTTGAGAACCACTGCTCTACACTGATAGAATTTTGTTTGAGCGTTCGTTTGTTTATCATGCCATTAGATCTTGCCATCACTGAGTCAAGTCATTTCAATCAAAAGCCCTTGAATATTTCATCCTGATCTGCTTGAATGGAATCCCAGATGTATCAAACACATTTTTTTTTGTGCCTGGCACATGTCCATTGCAATATGTACAATTATTCCCAAATGAAAATCACATTCACAGTTAGAACTTCATTAGTTCAGATATGAAATGAGAAAAATATTCCATCCTGTCCCTTCAATTTTCCTGTCAATACAATCAAAAACGAACGCCGATTAGACCCCACTTAACATCAGAAAGTTGAACAAACGCTCCAAATCCTTAAATTCCAATGACATTTTAATATGGCCAGCTTTCAATTTTGCAGGCTGAATGAAAGGAATCTAAAAATGTATATTAAAGGTATTTACATGTGATTTCATTTGTTCTTCTACCACCAGCATGTCTTCCGTTCCCAGAAATCTTCTTAACTAAACATGTTACTGTTTTTGTTCCTTAATATTCCATACTCTTCTCTCTCTTTAATCTAATGTTGTTAAAATGATGTTAATTTTCTTCTGTATCCTTGTTATTGATAAATATAATAATAATAAAAAATTAATTGCCAGCATAAACAGATTTGTATATAAGCCAGGAAATCTGCATTTTTTTAAAGCATAGGTCAGCAATAGCAGCCTCTATATACTCTCTAAATACAGGTGCCCTGTAAAAAATAAAAAATGAAAAAGTTATTGTACCCTGTATTCCTCCTTCTAATACAAACCAAGCTTAAAATGCAATTGCCATCATCCACGTGTCATTTAAGTAAAACTGCTTTGCATTTCATGAATTTATAATGACGGCTGTAAAGCACAGAGCACATTACAATCAATGAGAGCCTCCTCCTTATTTACCATCATCTTTACACAGGGGCTGCTTGGCTCTTGTCTTATACAGGGCCTTCTGTGTATCAGCTCCACCTCCCACCCCCTGCAGCATCAGCACCGCTCCCCTTACCTCCACTCCATCCATGAACAAGAGGCAGACATAGCAGGCAGCTAAGATATGTACGGCCATACAACAGCGAGCATCTCATTTCCATCATCTCCCTACAAGGTAAGAAACAATGGACTTTGCCTTTCTTTTCTAACGCAATCATTAGCCTTGCCTGACTGATCATCAAAGCACTGAAATCTCTGTATCTGCTAGCTAAAGGCCAGAAACTGCACTATCATGCTCTGTGTACAGTATTGTCATGGTCCTCGTGAGGATCAGGGTGTTTACAGATGCATTTTTCCTGCCTGGCCAGCGCTGCTTGTAAAATGATGTTTGTGCATCAATTATTTCACCGCGACAAGAAGGATCTATAAGTGCCATCTGCCGTATAGATCCACTTAGCAATTCAATTACAATTAGAAACATGAGTAATACAATGAATGGTGAGCACTGCTCTGTGCTTAGGTAATGGAAATGATCTGGTAACACAGCTTTTGAAGGAGTGAACTTAAATCAGACAGCCATTTTGGGTGAATTGTAATACAAGTTGTAAAGTAATGTCTTGACGTATGCAAACGTGATAGATAATTAGCATTGCTACAAAGGAAACTTTACCAAGGATCTCTATTTTGTTTCTTGAAAGACCTCTCCGAAATCATCTTTAGTTTAAAGTACACCTCTCATATGGAATATGGGGGCTGCCATTGCTGGTCTCCTGTGATGACAACCTTTATAGGGCGATAAGTGCACTGTTGCAAAATGTGTGCATGGCTTATAGCAGTGGTTCTCAACCTGTGTAACCTCAGGACCCACACTTGTCCTTGGTCATTAAGTTGCGACCCAAGTCGCAATGCAATGGAACGCATGGCATTAGGGTACTGCGCGTTTCAGTGGGGGCGTACAAGCTGTGTGTGGGAGCTGCGTTTGTGGTACCATTCCAATAATTGGCAACACACCTCCCACACCAGAATGCATGGTAGGTGCAATTGTGTGGTACGATTTAACGCACTGTACTAGTGTGAACGGGCCGTCAAAAACACTGACATACATACACAATCTCACACACTCACAGACATTCTCACACACACTCCAAAAAATTTTGTTGTTTTGTTAAGGTCCACCCAGTCTCTTACCTTATGAGAACTGGAGTGGATCCTCAACCTGGGGTCCAGTGTGGACTGCTGTGCTGTGACGGAGCTCCATCGATATGTGCATTGCTTGTACAGCTCCCTTGTGCGCCCTGTAGAGGTACTGGGAGCCAGAATGTGACTTCACTCTGGTCCAGGCAACGCTACAGGGCATGTGAGGGAGGTGTAACTAATACACGTATGGATGGAGCTCCCTCGCGGCCATAGCCCCATACTACCTCAAGCCAACACTGGGCTGAATGGCTGCTTGGCGCAATAACTGACAATGCTGCGCTAGGGGGAGGCAGGGGAGTCTCTTACCTAGAAAAGTGGAAGGCATGCGGCGACCCACTGAACACAGAGTCGTGACCCACTTTTGGGTCAAGACCCACCAGTTGAGAACCAAGGGCTTATAGTGTCCACAGTGAAATAAGCAATGTTGAGCAGACATAGGAAGTTGTGCAGTACACTTAAGCAGGCCATATACTGCATTGTGTGTGTTGTCTTACTGGCACCAATACTTTCGATTTTTCAATCGTTTTTTGTCAAAGAAGCTGGGCAAACGCCTGACCAGTGACTGCAGCCATTGAGCTGTAGTCACTGTTCAGGTATTCTGACAGCTGTGAGTGCTGGCTGTCAGAATACAATAGCCATCTGGAGATATTCACCCATTCATGTTGTTTAGCGTGGAATTGAGCAATTTTTTGGGGAAAAGAAAATATGCCAAGTGTATGGCCAGCTTTAGATATTGGATAAGAACAGATGGTAAGAATCACTTACAGAGTGCAAGAGTAGTGATGCTGTGCAGTTGCTATGCAGCCCTAATGACAGATACACCTAGGCCTAGTGATAATAAAGCTGTTCAGGTTTCTATAAGCTAAATTAAAAAAAAAAAAATCATAAGGCAGTATATAAAAACGCAAAGCTTTATGGTTTATGTAAATAAAATCTAAAAATGCCTGCTCATAATTTACATAGATCAGCCAAACCTCTATAGCCGTCCGAGACCTTAGAGATAAATTCTGGGAATTCAAAAAAAAACTTGCAGTGGAGCGCATTGCAGGGGTTAAATGATTCTTAGATTTAGGAGTAGAGGAATAAGCCTCATCTCTAAGGCGTTCCTGACACCAGTCACTCATTGATGCCATTAAGTACAATGCAGGGCCAGTATTTCTGCATTGTACGTGAGGATGGCGAGGAAGCGCCCACATTCCCGACCATCAGGGAGAAGAGGAGAATGCTGAAGCCTTTTTGCACCGCATGTGCCTTGTGATATGCTGCAGCACCAATGCATTGCCTGCTAAATTGTGCAAAAGGGCGCCCTTCCAAATACAGGAAATAGTTTACTTTGAGGTTCATCAATAAAAGTTCCATAGATGCCATTTGCACGGTACTAGCGCCCCTAGATGGCGCTGACGAGCACAAGGCCACCTAGTAACATGTGACTAGCATCTGCCCGGGAAAACTGGGGAAAACTTTTATAACTGAACCCCTTTGTGTGAGCAATCTATCTCCAAACCAGCTTGTGGACCTAGTGGGGTCAGGTCCATTACTGGGACAGAAATTAATCTACTTGTATATGACAAAGCTAACTACTATACTGTAAAAGAACCTCATCCGACCCCCAGTGGTCAGGTCTAGTTCTGGCATAGAAATTAGCCTACAAGGCTAATCCTCATCTTATGAACAGACATTACCAGGTGGTATATTTATAAAGGATTCAGTCAATCGTTTTATCTAATCTACCTATCCAAAGTTTTGTACTACTCTAAAATTTACATCTTACCGCTACAATATTGCATTTGTCATCAGCAAGTGAACACAGTTACTGTTACTGATTTACACCCTCCTTAAAAAAAAACCAAAAACATAATACTAATAACATGGGCCAATCTGCTGTGCCCTACCAATCTATCGTTCTCCAGATTATTTCCAGGGATATCCAATTTAAAGCTTAACTCCAGCCAAATTGTTTTGGGGGTTTTTGGATAGGCTGAGTTTCTGTCAGATTTTTATTTATTTTTTGTGATCCCATTAAGGAGATTTTCCTTACTTCCCTTCCTTGTGAAACGTACACAAGAAACATGAGATGTGGTTGTCACTGGGACAGGAAGACACATTGCCAGAAGTTCTAACCCTTACCCACTTTACTAAAAATGTGTTTTTGTTGCTGTCTCTGTCCTTATTGGCAAGATTTTCCCTCCCTTCTTGTCCTGACAGGCGGCAGCAAAAACAGAGCCTCTAACCTTCCCCCAATCTATCCAATATCAAATAAAATGTTTTGGCTGGAGTAAACTTTTTGTGGGGAGTGCCATTGCCGACCTTCTTCTAAAGATGTTAGTTTTCTGGCTTTTAAATGCTCTGGGTTCACAGCTCATTTTTTTCATGTGTTTGCTAAAATAACGTTCATGTTATTCAATTTGTATGTTACAGGCATAATGCAAGAATATGAATAGGCCACAAGAGGTGAAGAGAGTGAATTGAGGGCACCAGGTGAAATAACCCATCATCATGACTCTGAGTCTTTGCACTTGGTTAATCTGGCTGTGTACTGTTACTGGTAAGACAACTCACTTATATTTAGCGTGAATTTAGTGTTTTAGTGTGAATTAGTATAAAGAAAAAACTCTGTTCTTCAACACAGTTTCATCAGAGCTGGTAACAGTAGTGGTAACGTCCAGGCACCATGCAGTGCTGGCAAATGGCAAGTACATGTGTTATTCTTCAGATTGATCCCTATGGAACCCACTGGAACCTAGACTCATGGAGCCTGAACATTCCATTGAAGTTCTGGCATTTGACAGTTGATTGACAAGGGGTGGGACATCTAAATCTAGAGGGGAGGACTGAATCTTGACTTCAGGAATCTAAATGCCTCCTCAGATACACAAGGAACCATTTGAAGATCTACACAGGTTCTTGCAGGCACCACACGTGATCTGCATTTCAGCTACAACCATTACCTCTTCTGGATTTTGTGGGTCCTTCATTTTTGCAATGAATGGTGATATGAATAAGCCAATGATATAGAGAACACTACATTAATCACCTGTAACCTAAACTAAAAGTGGGCATAGACTTAGGATGACCTTTGGACCTTAACCAGTGCCACAATATCTCCAATACTGATGCATACATGCATGCTGGTATCCTACAATGCACATGCTTATCTGCACTGTATAGTTACACAATACCATGTTTGTATTGGCAAGCAGACAGCAGGCTATTAGCAGAAAAATCCCACCCCTGGGGATGTACTTTTCCCTTGATGAAACCATGCTGAGGTTTTTGCAACAGTTACAGTTATTTTATTTTATCTTATGACACATGTCTCTATAAAATATTACATTCACACCCATAATCCTAACCTTTGTATTTCTGTAGGCTCCGGTGATTATCATGTAAAGTCTGTGAATATTTTCACACTTTCTTTGGCATTCTGTAGAGCTAACCTAAACCTAGCCTATAATGCTTTTTTATTAATTCTCATAAATCAATATGTACCAATATTACTATAAATCATATTTTAACAATGTTCAGACCAAGTAAGAAATTAAATAGGGCAGATGTATTATATAACACTTTTCTTTTTCACAATCTGCAGGATATCTATGTGATCAATGCCGAGAGGGCGTCTCCTTTGCCAATGCAGTTATACCTGCGAATTTACAAAATACGCATCCTATTAGAGTTCCAAATGCAAGGACTATGTCAGACTGTATTTTAGCCTGTTGCAACCACTCAGGCTGTGACCTTGCCTGGGTGTTGGGCAGACAATGTTATATTGTGAGCTGCCAACATAAAGAGAGCTGTGAACCCCAAAAATTTGAGCGCATGCAATCATACTTAACATTTGTTCTTAGGCCTGCTCCAAGATTTATATCCTTACCGCTCTTTGAGAACTTTGTGCCTAATGGTAAATATTTACTTGGAGATCAAAGTGATGCAGAGGAGCATATGGCCAGTCTTAAGGAACTGTCCTCCCTAATCAAGAACCCCAGCCTAGAGGAACTGCCTGACTACACAGATGATTATGGTACTCCTCAGCTGGATCTTCTCCATCCAAACCCAAGTGATGGAGACAAACCAAGGCCTGATTTAGACTTTATAACTTGGCTTATGCCTGATGCAGCTAAGAACATCACTACTGTAGAAGTTGGCAGACGTAATGATGATGATACAGAGCATCCAAAAGAAGATTTCATAGTGAGTAAAGCTGTGTTGAGCAATGTTTCTGAGACATTATTTGGAGACCAACTTACCACTGCAATACCACAAGCAGAGACAGTTTTACCAAGAGAAAAGGAAACCATCAAGCAGGTAAGGTATTTTTTCTACATATTTTTAAGGTCATGTTTGCCCTTGTGTTTATTACTACATTATTGCTGAGAACCTTGCAGGGTAGACACATTGAAGCTGTTATTGCAGACATATATTCCTAGCTCTATGCTCCAGCACTGTCATCCTTATGCTTGCTTCTATATTTGGTTAGTCATCGACCCAGAACAAGCATGTGTTTATTATGTGTTCTCACATACACGTTTGTTCCAGATCAATGACTTACCATGTAGAGAGAATAGGAATTTCAGAAGGGGAGCATGCACCTTCAAAAACAAGTCAGCAATGGCAGTTACCATTTTCCTGACAGATTCCTTTTAAATTGATGCATGCAGTACAATGTTTACATTGCCCCCCTTACAGCTTGATCATGTTTTTTTTTTTTTTAAATAATGCTTTCAGCTTCCAACACCTATCCCCAATTCTGCTTCTCTGGACAAAGTCTTAGCTGATGTTACAGACAACCATCCAACTGAAAAATTGATACCAGAGCACCAAGAGGTTGCAGAAAACACAGCCAATTCTCTCCCATCATATCCATCCATTACCCACAATGCACTGCCTACCGCAACTGCCCAATATCCAAGTAAGTAGACGCAATGGGGACAGCAAACAATATTTTCCATGTATATTCACAATAATTGAAAAACACACCTAAAGCTATATTTATATTTCAGATAAAGTATGCTGCTTATCCTTCCTACTTAGGTTTCCTGCCTACTTAGGAATCTTGTATACTTATCCTGCCTACTTAGGAATCTTGTATACTTACCCTGCCTACTTAGGAATCTTGCCTACTTATCCTACCTACTTATCCTGCCTACTTAGAAATCTTGTATACTTATCCTGCCTACTTAGGAATCTTGCCTACTTATCCTACCTACTTATCCTGCCTACTTAGAAATCTTGTATTCTTATCCTGCCTACTTAAGTATCCCAACCCCCTCCACAGACTACTTACCTGAATCTGACAGTTGAGCCTACAGCAATGTTTACAGCCTGGAGCTGCTGGTCCCACCTGGTCTATATAGACTTCTATGAGAAAGATACCAACCCACCTCGGCTGTACCCAAAATACAAAAAAAAAAAGACAACTTGACTGCCATTATACTTTAAGCTTACTAAACACAATGAAAGGTGGATGTTAAATAGAAGTAACTCTGGCTAAATTGTGCAACAACTAAACTGTTTATAGAATAGACTTTGATAAAATGGCATTATTTCTAAAAGGATCTGGCAGGGTACAAAAATTTGTATGGATTTCTATATTTTCTGAATGAACAAAACTCAAATGAGGCACCATGTAATTTTTTTTTTAAATGGGGAGGTTACCTGAGATGCATTGCACCTTGGACAAGGTGGAAAAGTGATCATTTAGAATAAGAATCTCTAGTGTATAGACAGCTTTAGGATGAGCCAAAGCTATCACGGCATTGAAGAAACCTTATCAAGTAATCTTTTTGTTTCCTCTAAGATTCCAGCTTTCCGCTGGCAGTTTGTTTACCACCTTTGTGACCATGTTTCATGTTACACTCATATTTAGGGTATAACATGAAACATGGTCACATTCCTTAGCCCCCCACCCTCAAACCGGCCCTCCACTTACCTGAATTGTGGGGTTCTTCCCCTCCTGTCTTCTATATTCATGTAAATTATGAGCGGGTGTGTGGGGCTCTGCCTGGCACCACATCAGAGGGACTTGTAGATCTCAGTGGAGCACAAATTTGGGGACGTCAGCACACTTATACTCAACTGATTACTTCCTTTAGCCCCATAACAGAAGATACATACCTTGGAATGGACTTTTTGCTGGGGAAAGGGTCTGCATGAGTCTATGCATTGCACCTGCAGAGTTTCACCCCATTCACTAAGCTAAAGGAACATTCCCTTGCAAAATGAACACATATTTGCCTTTAGTAACTCAACCCCAGTATGTCCATTTCACGTTGCCTTTTAACATGAAAGCTTGCGTACTAAAACAAAACAGAGAGAACAGAAATTGATTCTCAAATGCTGCTTACTCTGCAATGGCAGAGCTCATCTAAGATGGTGGCGTCTAGCAGGAGTCTTAAAGGGAGATTAAATGAGCGAAACAAGGTTAGGCTCCTTTCACATGGGCTGATCAGGAAGGGAATCCGTGTACGCATCCCCTCCTGATCAGAGAGGTACGGATCAGATGTCACTGCTGCGACATCTATGCCTGTCTAGCTTTTCCTCCAACTTGCAATGGAGGAAAGAGCTAATCAGGTTACCCTCGACCCAGCACAATCAGGTCTGGCGAAACGAAACTCTGTTTCGTTTGTTTTTCCTAACCTGACCGGAGTCACGGGTAACCGGGTGTAAATGGACATCTGTTCGTTTAGACCCGGCTGCCCATTGACTAGCAGTGGGCATCCGATCAAACTGTCCGTGTGAAAGGTGCCTTAATTGGCATATAATCCTATGGGAATATTGCTAATATTTTTTTTTTTTTAGTTTCATAAGATTTTTTATTAGTTTTTTCCAATTGTTGCTAATATTAATAGTGTAGGGACAGGGGCTCCTTGAAGCAAGTATAATGTATTTTATATTATATGTAATGTATTATACTTTTTTTTTCATGATAGTGTTGACGATCACAGTATCCACAGCAGGCAACATGGAAGTGGATCTACCAACTCATGAAGTTCAACTTAATGTCTTTGTAAGCCCTGAACCCCAGGCCAGTGAGTTCCCACATGCAAACCGATATGTAGATCTGCTTGAATCTATCTGCATATGTTGCAGTCTTGAGGCCTCATTCACATGGGCATGCTATAATATGTTCTGATATGGATGTATAGAAGTTTTCTACATGCATAATGCATGCAATGATTTTAAATGGTATAATGTACACTGTGCATTATGTTTAACTGTGTTTAGAAAAATAAAAATCTGCGTGTCCAATTCGGATATAATGAACACATCTATATGCATGTAAACATAGGTACATTAAATGCAGGGAAAATTGATCTGGGAAGTATAAACTTTTATATTTTCCAGACCATTTTCTCCTATGTTTAAATAAGCCAAAGAGGCTCGTGTGAATGAGAGCTTAAGCGTCACTATACCAAAAGGCAACATTATTTATGGCTAACTGGAGTCTTATATATCACTTGTAGATGTGCCATATACATATGAATGGAGTCTGATAAAGCAGCCTGCAGACTTCCATGGTGAATTGAAACTGAAAAACACAAAGTCTCCAATAATGTCAAATGTAAGTTAAACTTTTTGTTATATGTTTTATGGTGCAATTGACCACTCCTCTTTGAATAATCCATAGGGGGGAACAAACATGGGATTCCAAGGTTTGTTAAAAGGAAATGGTTTATAATCACATATATTTAAATTGTATTACATGTCTTTAAACTGATGTTTTATATCTGATCTATAATATATATATATATATACACACAAAGATATATATATATATATATATATACACCCCGCAC